AAATTATGAGACTTTTTAACTTGTGAGACATTTTGAAACTTTTGTAACAAAATTACAAAAAAAAAAAAAGTCTCAACAGAAATCTCATCAATATTGGTGAGATTTCATTTATGTGACTCTCTCCGCGATCTCTTTCTTTTATCTTTCTAACACGACTTATATTATATCACATTCATGCTTTATTATTTTACTTATTTATTTTGATACCTTGAATAATTTTTATTTTCATTACCTATATTAGTGTCATCTTTTATTTTATATATTCTTTATTATGCTTACTAGTACAGTGCCCGTGCGATGCACGCGACTTTATAATTTTCGTCATTTTTAAAATGCAAGTTTGTATTAGGATTCAAATTGTATAATAAAGGAACGATCGAGATATTTGAATATAAAGAAAATGAAATATATTATATTATTGAACACTTCCTTATATACACCGTTTATGGTTTGATTTTTTTGCACGTTTGTCGCCTCAAATTATGATTTTAATACGATTTCGCTTAGTGACGCGGGAGAAAGCAGCATACAACTGGGCATGACTAATCACTGGTTTCTTCAACACAGAAAATGCTTTTTTATGTTAAAAAATTACTCATTTTAACCCGACCTTTATACCCATATTGATATTTTTTGTGTTCGAGCTGATATTTTTATACTACAGAGATAATTTTTGTAAAAAAATCACGTTTATCTCATATTTTATACAATTATTCAACATTTTGTTTTCGATTTGAAATTTTTACACTGAAAATAAGATATTTGTTGCAAAAATTGAAATTTTAGTTTGAAAGTGGCTTTGCGAACTCGAATACATATTAGTATGGCTTAGGAAAAAACAAATGACAAAACAATGAAATCATATTAGTCCAATAGAAATTTACTTGATAGGTTTTTAAATGGCTTAGGGAAAGAACTCGAATACCTCATGCAAAATGTGAATAAAAAATATGGACTTCTATTTGTGATTTTAAATGATATATTGTCGAACTGTGTTGAAACATATCTTTCTTTTCGTCAACTAAATATTAACGCACGTTTGTAAGATCGAGTGAAATTATGATTGCATATATTCGGCTAATGTCACATGGGGTTATATAAATTAAAGTTTTATGCAGAACAATCTTATATAGACTAACAACTATATTTATCTAGATACTTGTGAATAAGTTTTTAAAGTTTGATAACAATAGTTTGAAGGTTGAAGGATTTTTTCGAATATATCAAAAATGTTATAAGGAATTATCTATTGTACATGGATTGTGTAACAAACTTACCTAATTAAATGTGTGACTGTTAAGTGTGAGAGTTTTATATGAGTTCATATATTTCACAGTATCCGAAAATATATGAGAATTAGTTTATTATAAACAATATCTACAGTTTAATATATAGAAAATACGGTAACTGATTTTAGTTAGTCAATTTTATGGGCACATAGTTTGTTTCAAATCATAATATAGGATTGTGTAGATTAGTTCAACTCCACATATGTAAATGTATGGTTAGCCGAATCTTTTATATATTACAAAAAAACAATTTGTTATCTAAATATAAGGACAAACGCTTTAGAATATTACGAATTTGTTATCTAAATATAAGGACAAACGTGTGTTTTGCAATATATATTCGCTGATTTTTTTTATTAGTTAGCATATATTGACTCAAATCGAAATATTAACATATTGTGTAAAAAAAAATGATTATAGTTAGGGATAGATACATTGATATCTCATATTTTTTAAAGTTCATTTGCACATGCTTTTTAGACAAATAATAAAATCCAATCCGATTATCAAAGTTACTAAAAAAAGGCTCAAAAATCCGAACATCTTACCAAATTATTGGCTAAAAGAACCGAACATGGTACCAAATTTTTTGAAAATTATTATCACATGTGGGTTTAAGAATATTACTTATAATAGTAAGTCAGCCTTATTTTCTAAGTCAAATTTACAATTTATCTATTTATTCAACAACCTTTTTACAAATATAGATATTCATTTAAAATAACTTATGATATTTGAAATACCACATTTTCAAGAACGATCAAAGAGTGTTGAGATAACTATTCATAGATATTTTTGAAATAAAGTTATTGTAAATATTCAAAATGATTATGTTTGTTACAAATTTCCGTGTTTGAAACTATGTTCTAAAAGTCGGTCTAGGCGGTGCCCGACCGCCTCCAATATACATAAATCGGTTGAAAAAATCGGCAACGCTAGGCGGCGCCTAGGCAGACGTAGGCGGGCTCGGCGAATATTTTTTTATTTATTTTTAATTTATTTTTAAATACTAATTACCTTATTTTGTTATCTTGTTTTCTTTATAATATATTAATATTATTATTAGGACTTAGGTGTGTTGATTTATTATAATAGACACTCCGCGGAAATTTCTCAATTTATTTTTTATTTTTTTAAAATACTAATTACATTATTTTGTTATCATATTTTCTTTATAATATACTACTATTATTATTTGGACTTAGGTGTGTTGATATATTATAAGTTGATATAGTTTTATTCTGTAGAAAGTGAAAATAAATAAAAAAAATAAGGTTTTATTTTAATTTCTAGGCCCCGCCTAGGCATTCTAGGCTCTAGACTCTGGTCGAGCGCCTAACGACTTCTAAAACACTGGCTTGAAACACAATCGGTTCTTGCAGATCCCAAATTTCAAGAGTTGGGATTCTTAGATGACAATAATTTGGTTAGATTTTATGTTAATATTTATTAAATAAATCACTTAAGAATTGGGGACATTATGATATTTTGTATTCTAGATTAAAATATATCTTCAATATTTGGTAAGATAAATATTGATAATTTTTTTTTTTTGGGCATCAACATTACGGTAAATAATATTAATAAAAAAAGTGTTTTT